AAATTTTAACAAGCCATAATAGAAGAATGTTTTATTGAATAAAAATTATTACAAGAACAAAATTATTTGAAATTTTTTTTTCTATCATATTATTTAATTAAAAATAAGGATTTTTATTAAATAAAATTAAGGAAAAATATTTTAACCCTGATGGACAAAAAAAATGTATTAATTTAATATTCTAGAGTTTCTTTAAATAACTAATTTTTTCTTTATACTAATTTTTAATTTTCAATAGATTTCATAAAAATGAGCGCCTAATCCTTAATTGATCACCCTGTAATTTAGTTTAATATATAGTATACTACTTTTATTTTTTCGTTAAATAATAATTGTTTCATAAAAATATATAATTTAAATTTAAATAATTTTATGAACCATAATAAATATCGAATATATTGCAAAAAAAATTATTTCTGTGGAAATATTTTAGGATAACTTTACTTTAGGGTAAAAGAGACTTATAGGAGTGTGGAAATTATAGAGGCATAAAGCTTATAAGTCATAATATGAAGATTTAAAAAAAGGTAATAAATAATTGAGAATAGTGTAGGGAAAACAAGAAAAATCTGTGTATGATATTCATAGATTTGGTGAAAAAGTATGATAAAGTACCAAGAGAACCTTTAAAGTGGGCATTAATGAAAAAAAGAGTCCCAAAAAGGTACATTAATATAGAGGATATGTATGATGACACTTGTACGAGGGTAAAAAGTGTGGGAGGAGTAACAGAAGATTGTAAGATAAGAGTAGGAGTGGACCAAGGTTCTGTTTTAAGCCCTTACTTATTTTCTGTAGTGATGGATGAAATTACTAGAGAAGAATAAGGAAAGGTGCTGTGGTACATATTCGCTAATGATATAGTGTTACTAAGAGAAAATAGGGACGAAATTAGTCAAAGGCTAAAGATGTGGAAAACAGCTCTTGAATAAGATGACTACAGAAGATAGGATAAGGAACAAACATATTAGAGGTAGTTTATGTGTAGCGTCAATCATGCTATGAGGAGAGAGGAATCGGAAGCTGTAAGAACAGTTATAAAAATGAATATTGAAGGAAGAAGAGGTAGAGGAAGACCAAAAAAGAGATAGAGGGGTGTTATTGAATGCGTAGATGATGTGGGAGATCGTATCCAGTGTAAGTTTGGGTAATAAGGGTTGCCAACCCCAAATAGTTGAGATTAAAGCTAGGAAAAAGATGATTGGAAAAATTTTTTTATGAATATATTTTAGGGATAACTTTTGAAAGTTAAATGGGAACCTATTGTTATTTTTTTCTTATTAAATAAAAACGATCTAAATATAATTTTAATTGATCGATATCCAGTTTTGTATTATTACTTTTTTAGGTAATAATATTAACTCTTCTTATTTTTTTTCCCTCGCCTTAATCCCAACTTCTTGGGATTTTTAATATTAAATTATAATATTTAGTTATAGATGAGAGGGACGTAGAATATTCTTATCAGTGTGTTATGGTAAAAATATGACGTCGCTAAACACTACCTCACTCCTACTTTTTTCTAAATCATTTAATGATTTAATAATATATCAATAAACAATATTACAAAACAGATAATCGACCAATGGAATTTTTATTCAGACCATTCTCTAATTAATAGTAAGAATATAATAATTGGTTTCTATTTAACTTTATATTTATATGGTTCAAAAATAAATAAAATTTAAATCTGTACTTTTTAATATAAAAATTGGGGAAGTATTATTAATAAATTACACTGTATACTTTACCTTTAATGTATTCATTATCAAAGTATTTATTCAATAAGGATCTAAAAACCACTTAATCGCTAATAATTTGTTTTTAGAATAATAACACCAACAGATGATTCGGAAATGAACTTGATTGCTTACAAAGAGCTTTATCATAACAACCATAAAATATTTGCGTGCGACAGTAAGACCTCGAACTCAGTAACCATTTAATTTCAATTTGACATACATTGCAATATGTGATCAAATTGGACTGGGTAATTATTTGAAAAATGTTTATACGACTTGGTGAGTTAATATTTACAAAGAATGTGTAAACACAAAAATGACGAAGACAGAGTTGTGTTATCAAAATGGAATGATAAAGATATTATGAAAAACATCATATGTATAGAATTCCATAATAATTGCTGAAATAAATAAGGAAGAATAATAAATAGTATTTCTATCAAAAAAATTTTAAAATAAAGTCCTAGCTATTTGTCAAAAAAAAAAAAAAAAAAAATGGGATTTTCAATAACTAAAAACGGTAATATTACAAAGTTTAAAATCGTTTGTACAATTATTTTTTAAAATTCCGTAATAGAAGAGGGCTGGTGAGAGTTGTTGAAAAATTAACATCTAACTTCATAGAATTTCAATATTAAATATTTTTACAAGTAGAAGGTAATTGAATTGCTTACAATAATAAATACAAAAGAATATTACAATTTGTTTATATCATACAGAAAATAATTTACCACTGAAATCAATAGTTTTGTTTTGTTTATTAAGTGGTGGAAAATGTATGATTTCTTTATGCACACCTAAACAAATCGATTTATTTTAATTTTTCTAGTTTATGATAGTTAAATGAATATTGTGCTGAATAGTAGAATGCTGAAGCTTCATTAATGTATTATTAAATTTACTTTTATATTTCAGCGTACTTAGTTCAAATATAAAAGTAAATTTAATTATTATTTATTATAGCATTGGGAACAAGAAACAAAATAAAAAGCTTTTTTCTTTTAATGAATATGATACTATAATATCATATGAGCCGAAAGGTACCTTTGTCATTTGAAAGCTCAAAGTATGTCGTATAACCTTCAAAATACAGGTTTTACTGTCAAAAAATTAAAATTTTTTTCTCTTTGAACTTTGTTATAATGGTACAATTCTACTCCTTTAATAGCTTTACATTTGTACTTTTGATCGACTATTTCTTTTTTCTTTCGTAGCTCTTAAAAAGCTATTATCTTGAACTTTTTTCTTCGTCATTGTAACATTTTTTGTGTTTCTAAAAAATAAACATTTGATAAATAATTTCATAAAATTTAATTTGAAAATTATTAATTGTTTAAATTATTAACCCAACCATATGTATACTCTAAAAAGTATTAAAAACTGTAAAATATACTGTAACTAAAATTGAACTAAAACTTTCTTTAAATTAATTACAAAAAAATGTTTTCAAACTGTCACAGTTTTAACGATATTTTTAATGGTTTTAGGACAAAGAAAATTATATTTTCCATGAGAATGCTTCAGTAACGATTTAATATTAATCAACAACCATAGATAATTTTTCAAAAACGAATCAAGAAGTCAAAAATTTGATCATAAAATAAAATAAAATTAATGAATCGCAAATATAGAAAACTAAATTTTTTTATGAAATAAATAATAAATAAGTAAATACTTAAAAATTTATCTTTATAAAAATATAAAGAATATTTTATTATATTATACTATACATATATATATTATATTGTAATATATTAAAACTTGTATTAATTTTATACTTTTTATTGCAAAAATTTATGAAAGATACAAATTTCCTTTATTCTACAATATTATAGTACTATAATATTTATATAAATATTTCTGTATGTTTACACAAATACATTTCGACAAATTTGAGGGAAAATGTGTATTAAAAAAAAAAAAAAATTGAAATTATAAGAAATTCTATATAAAGATATTATTCTCAACATTTGAAAAAAATAACCCTCAGCACATTTCGATATTTTTTACAATTTTTTTACTTTAAATTGCCATAACTTTTTGAAAAGTTTATATATCGACATAAATTATGTTTGAGAAATACTTAAGATACATATTATTCTATTCTTCGTAGAAGTGGATAAGAATACATCCACGGCCCCTATGCCAGTCGTAAGAGGCGACTAATAAGGTTGCGGCGCCAGGTCAACAGCCGTTATAAAATTTTGTTAAAAAGTATGAGGATTTCTGAACAGAACATAGGCTGATTGTCTCATCTCGGATGCATGCGGGAATAATAGGTGAGAGGAAATAAATTGTTTAATACCCGCCGGACAACTTGTGCGGTAGCTGTTTCGCCAGTTATGTGTACAGGTCTATGGAACGCTATAGTGTCAACGGTGTAGGGACATCATCACTCAACTCTAGGCTGGACTCGTGTATTGGTAAGAAAGATAAAAAGTAAGAATAGAAAAGTGGAAAATTGGAACATTAACTAGTAGAAGTATTGATGAGGAAAAAAGTTAACTTTTGTTTTGTGCAGGAAATTAAGTGGAAGGGAAGGATATGGTTTTAGTGGGAAAAACGAGGATGTAGAAAGAATCTTGAATTTCTCAGTATAGTGTGTTCTTACTGTAGTTAATATTTATTTTAGAAAGAGGGAAGAACATTATATAACTTATAAAAGTGGGAGTAATAGATCACAGATTGGTTATTTTATGTGGAAGAGAGGGAATGTAAAGCGAGTAAAAGATTGTAAAGTTATCCCAAGCATGAGTGTAACTATACAATATAGACTGATGGTAATAGATTTGTGGTATAGTGGGAATAGAGTATACAAAAACAGAAAGAACACAGGAGGAGAATCGAGGATCCAGTAGTGGTAATTGGAAGGGGAATAAAAAGAACTGTTAAAGACGGTAAAAGAGAACGATGCGAAATATCGAGGGAGACATAAATGATGTGTGGAATAGATTTACTAGTTATTTAAAGAATACTGCAAAGGAGATAGTTGGTAAGAGTAGGTGTAGAATGATAAGAAACAAGGAAACCTAGGGGTGAGATGAGAACGTCCAGAAAATAGAGAGTAAAAAAAAGGAGTTTAAAGTATGGTAGAAGTGCAAAAGCAAAGATTGGATAGAATATAAACGCGTGTATGAAGAAAACAAGTGTGCGCTAAATAAGACGAAGTTTAAAAAGTACGATGAGTTGTATGATAGGCTAGGAACAAATAAAGGTGAAAAAGAATCTATAGTAAGTGTATATTTTAATATAAATCTATGTTAAAATAAATAATAGAATTTCATACAATATTCTTTTTGAAATTAATATATTTTTATTTATTCTTTTTTTACAATTATGATCAATTAATAAAATCAATCAAAACTTAAACTTTACTAAGTTCAGTGAAATTAACGACTTTTTGAGTACCATCCATAATTTCAAATGTATAGAGTTCGTTGTTTATCATTGTTTCGTAGTAAATTTTTTCTGTTTGAGTATTTGTGCTGTCAATTGTATCAATCCTACATTGTTTGTTAGCAAAGTCGCACCATGCTCTTTGATTGAATACATTATTATCTTTACAGAATAAGAGTATTCCTAATGTTTTACATTTTACATCATTGTCATCATGGCACAGCATATTGTTGGCTGAAACACGTTATTTATTCTTAAACTATTATTACAAATATTGGACAATAAATAAATCTCAGAAATAGTCGCACTGAGTTTAATGTATCCATAATTAAGTTACATAAATCACTAAGTATTAATTTTAAGTCATGTTTAAAGATATTTTAATCATTAAGTAAAATAATTACAATTTTACTATTTAATTACCTAATTGAATTGTATATATTCTATTAAATGATTTCTTTAGTAAAAAATTTTTTCGGAAAAATGTCGCATCGGAAAAATCTGTTTCTTTAAAATGAACTGAACCCTCTTTTAAAAAATAAAAAAATACGTTTCAATTTTAACACATAAATTATTTTTCATATATATAAAGCTTAATAATATGTTAATATTATTCATATTGATGCTTTAACAAAACTCTCGGTTATTGATTTTTTACAAAGATTTTTGATATATGTTTGTTAGATTATTGTCTGTTTTGATTTAATAATTTTGCTGGATATTCATTGATAATAAATTTAAAATACAAGAATATTAATTTCAATTACATAATACGTAATTGATATTCAATGTATATGAATATTCATATCAAAGAGTTTTGTTGGTGATTTTAATCTGTAATTTTTACACATTTAAATAGGTTTTGATAATATATTTTTGGTTAATTAAGAATTATTCATTTAAATTTTAAGTGACGTCTGTGTAACGTATATGATCACTTACTCGCTTCTTGTTTGTTTATTTTATTGGCATCTAAATGTAATATTAAAATAATTGGTTTAGATAATAATTTAATATATTATTCAATTTAAAAGAAAAAATTTGATAGAGCAAATAAATTATATAGATAGAATTAGACTTCATTAGTAATACCTAATATAAGTTCTTTAAATAATTATTACTTGGATTAACTGAATGTATATCTCTTTGCAATTGCTCTTCATTGGCTATTATTCTTGTGATATTCTCGCCTAGAAAACATCGGCTAATTTTTACTTATCTATAAATTTTAAAGCTTATACGATTTTATCGTAAATTTGAATTATGTAATTTTATGTATATGTAATAATAATAATAATAATTAAGTATACTACTTTTCATTTCTAAGTTAAATAATGATTATTTAAAAAAAATTATACATTAAAATTTAATTTAAATTTGTAACCCATTGTTAATACAAAGTTTATTATTAGAAAAAATAATCCTAAAGATAAATTTTATAGGTAACTTTAAAAAATTAAAAGATAACTTATTTTGATTTTTCTACTAATAAATTTAGAGTAGTCTAAATAAAATGTTAACTGACCGATAACCGGTTTTGTGGCACAATTTTTTCAATATTAGTATTAAAAGATTTAGAAAAGATGATAAGCAAAATAGTGTTGAGCGACGGTTTAATTTTAATATAACGCTATGATAAGACTTCTTATACGTTGCGCACTCCTGTCGCCTATAAATAGAAATTACATTAACTTAAAAAGTAATAAAATAAAAACCCAACATAAGGAGGTTACGGCACAGTGGTGACGTGACATAGTTGGGTCAAGATTTAAAATCACTATCATAAAAAACGCTTCCATGCAAATCATTAGATAGTGTTTAATTTTAAAAAATTGTTGGATTATTCCAAAAGCTACATTATCTGCTATTTCCTTATTTATATCCTGATTAAGATAAAGTATGTCGAATGAAATAGTGATATAAATATTATTATTTCTCATACAAAAAATTGTATTGATCCATACACTTTTCAATAAGTTATGGCATTATAAATTTAAAAATATAAAATATAAAATAGAGAATTTTCACACAAAAAAGCATTCAGTAACTATTATCACCATGAAAATAAAATAAAGACCAAACATTTCTTTTTCATAATAAATATGTTACATAAGCTTTAATTTAAGGTATATATAAAAGTGTCAGACCTTCCGGAACACTTTCAAAAATTAAGTTGAAAAAGTTCTACTTTCTATATGCATTTTTAAGTTTTGAACTCCCCCTGTATTAAGGGAAATGATCCTATTAAAAAAAAAATATATATATCGAATAAATGAAGTATATAAATATTATTTGTCATAAAAAAATTGTATTGATCCATTCATTTTTCAAAAAGTTATATCATTTTAAAGTTAAAAATGTAAAATATAAAATCAAGAAATTTAACACAAAAGTAGCACTTGGTAACTATTTTTTTCAAATTCAATTATATTACATAAGCATTAATTTAAAGTATATATAAAAGTGTCAGACTTTCCGTAACACTTTCAACAGTTAAGTTGAAAAAATAAATATCTACAAGAAAGACAATTTCGGTAATCGATATTAATGATTTATATTTTATAATTAAATAATTATTAAATTTCGACCATACAATAGAATGCGTTTTTTTAACTTACTATTACATACTAAATTAATTTAAATAAAACTTCAATATAAATATATGATAATTAAAAAAAAAAATGTTTCAGTATTGATCGAAAAATTTTCAGTAAAAAAAAATTCTATTTAATTATCATGAAATAGGCTCAATTTGGTAGTCCAATATTAATTTGCTTACTTCTAAGTATAAAGCAAAACTATTTGTAAACTTAAAAACATAAAATTGATTTGGTTAATTATATTCGAAGCAGACTATATCTTTCATTTCATTAGATCAAATTACTTGAAACTAAATATATCAATTTGAAAGTGATCAATTTTATACTTAATATTCATTCAGGCCCATTTTACAATAGTATAAAATATAATTAAAAAAGTTAAAATAAGTATTCTTGAAAAAGATAATTACTGTAATTTTACCACACTAAATGTTTACTAATGATAATTTATCATTACAGCTAATAGTAATTGAAAATTATGTATTTAATTATATAACATATTAAATAAATTTTATGAAAAATGTTTGATATTTATGATTTAAATAAATACTTAAATTTATCATGTCAATTAAAAAATGTAAGTATTTAGAAGTTTTGAAAAATGTTGTTATAAAGTTGATTTGTACATAACATTAATTTACCTTTTGGAATATGATTGCTTATAGAATTATCTATAAAATAAAAAATATATTTTATCAAGCAAGTGTAGAGGTGAGATACTGTTTGGTAAATTTTAATGACTTATTTAATCTAGAACACAAAATTCTAACAAGAGTATAAAGTATAACATGATTTAAATTATTATATATTTAGAAATTTCATATAATAATAACAAAAATGTCAAAATTTCTCATTTCAATTTTCTTCAAAAAATTCTCTTCTTCTCTAATTCAAATAAGACTTAATATTTTAAATACTTTTAATTCGTGGTGGTTTTTTTTAACTGTTGCACTAAAAATGATTTATTTATTCATCCTCAAATTAAGAACTTATTCAGTAAAACAACAATATTCATTATTCTAGTAAAATACGTATACATGTGATTTAAAACAAACACATATGTGTTCATTTAATTATGTTCATACAATTTGTCATTGTTTGGTTAATATACTTAAAAATAATTCTATGAAAAAATTCTTATGTAATAAAAGCATCACACCCGCCCCTTACCAACAGTCGCTATTTCAAATCGTTAGTAGTAATATTCGATTATAATGTTTTAAAAGCTGTTATCTACCAATCATAATAAAGTATATTACATTATTTTTAATGTAAGATATGTATAAAAATGTCAGAGTATCCAGAACACTTTCAAAATTTAAGTTGAAAAAGTTGTCATTTGAAATCCCCCCTGTGGATATATAAAGGGTCAAATTTATAAAAAAAAATATATTATATGATAGGTAAATACCTCATGTATCTATAAAAATAAAATTATATTGATCCATACATTTTTCAAAAAGTTATAGCAAATTAAGTTAAAAATATAAAAAAGGATTTTTTTACAAAAATCATATTTGTATTATTAACTTCGATGGCTGTTTTCACCATAAAATACAATAAAGTCCGAACATTTTTTTTTCAAATTCAAGTATATTTCATAAGCTTTAATTTAAGGTATATATAAAAGTGTCAGAGTATCCAGAACACTTTTCAAATTTAAGTATAAAATATAATTAAAAAAGTTAAAATAAGTATTCTTGAAAAAGATAATTACTGTAATTTTACCACACTAAATGTTTACTAATGATAATTTATCATTACAGCTAATAGTAATTGAAAATTATGTATTTAATTATATAACATATTAAATAAATTTTATGAAAAATGTTTGATATTTATGATTTAAATAAATACTTAAATTTATCATGTCAATTAAAAAATGTAAGTATTTAGAAGTTTTGAAAAATGTTGTTATAAAGTTGATTTGTACATAACATTAATTTACCTTTTGGAATAAGATTGCTTATTAAATTTTCTATAAAATAAAAAACATATTTTATCAAGCAAGTGTAGAAATGAGATACTGTTTGGTAAATTTTAATGACTTATTTAATCTAGAACACAAAATTCTTACAAGAGTATAAGTATAACGTTATTTAAATAATTATATGTTTAGAAATTTCATATAATAATAACAAAAATATCAATTATTAATTTTATAAATAAATTAATTTTATCTAAAAACTGTTAGGTTTTTTAAGAGTGAGCAAAGGAGGAGGTAAAATTTTTATTTCCCCCAGAAGAAATTTTTAATGACGCCACCTATTACATTTATATTTACCATATGGCCATTTGGAAACACATTGAAATAGAAGATTATCTGTATGGGCTATAAAAAAATATGTGTTATTATTAATTATTATTCATTATCACTGAATAATTTATTCTATATTCACTATATAAAATGTAAAAATGTTACCATCTGATAATGAAGTCACCATTTCATCTATGTGTTGGAAAATTTTCGAAAAATCAGATTCAAATTTAAGGATAAATATATTAAATTTAAATTAATATTATTTATTTTTAAATCTCACTTGTAATAGTGATTTCTAATATACATTCTTTAAAAACAATAGAAAAATAAAAATATTAATATCGTAAATAACATTTTAAAACTTAATTACTACATTTTTTGAAACACAATGATTTTCAAATTCAAATCTACCCGTGAAAAATGCCAAGGTTATTTAAAAGTTTCTATATTGATATTTTATTAAAATATTATCTCAACAGAAAACAATTGCTTGAATATAAAAAGAATATGAGAAATAACAATAGCAAAGTGTGCTCCAAGAATTTTTTAATCATGCACAACAAAAAAAAAAAAATTCTGAAATATAAATAATTTAGAAAAATTAATTATTTAAATATGTTATGGATAACAATAATATCAATGATGTTTTTAATTTTTACAAAACCCTGAGAAACTGAATGAATTTTCTTCTTATGAATATAATTATGTATTATTTGGGCGATGACGATGGAAAGATTATTGATGACGTATATAAGTTATTCTGATGCGTATAACATAATTAGAATTAATCATTATAATGAAAATCAAAAATACTCACCATATAATTCCTTTGAAATTGGAGGTTTTTTTTTTGGTGCAGAATTTACAAAAAGACTTTGGTTTACTATGGTCAACGACCATATGACGATTATATAAAACCTAACAGTCTGTTTTTTAAACGCCATTTTCTATTACTTATAGAGCTTGATATGGTTGTACTATTTGAATAAAAAAAACAATTACTTAATACTTAAAATATATAGAATGTTCAGTAAGTAAGGAAACGGGTTTCTATGTTCTAATTGTTTTCAACGATTTACTTGTTTCCTTACTTATTGATTACTCTGTATAATAACACTAACAATAAATACACTCTGCACTGCTATATAATAATTTTTTTTGTCATAATTGAAAATTAAACCATGTAAATACAACTTTAATTAAATAAACATTATTTTTGCTATAAAGAATATACAAAGCAATCGAAGTTTAATGAACTAGCAGACCTTTCAATTAAATAAAAATAATATTAATTTTTTTTTGTTTCTTTAGATACATGTTTATTTTAATTTATCAATCAAAAAGTACTTTTTATGTTCATCCCTCGATAAATCTGCTAATTCATTAAATTCTGATGATCCTGTATAACACTTACACAAATAACTAAATAAAAGTTGTATACATAATTACACACATAATAATAATTTATAATTTTTAACTTAAGTATATTGATCTTTTAGTTATAATTGATCTCAAGATAAAATAAAATGCTGTAAATAGGAAAAAATGCAAATCGGATGCTGAAATAAATTTGTATAGACAATTAATATTTTCGAGTAAATACTTTTAAAGAATATGATTTTTTTTAAATTATTTGATATATATTTAATAATTTAACACTTTATTTTACCAGCATGTTGCTATGAACTTACCCTTAATTAATTCCACTATTGAACTAAGAACAATATTTCTAAAATATTCAGATTGTTACGTTTTTTTTTATAAAGATTTCTTTGTTAAAAATAAATGATAATAGTAATAATTTATTTATTGAATTATTTATATTATCAATATTTTAGCTAAACAAATTATTTAATTTTTAAAGAGCAAGAAAGAACTTTATTTACCATATAAATCAATACTTAAAACAGACAAATTAAATATAAAACGAAAATTAATCGTAATTTTACATTACAAGTTTCATTAATTATTAAATTAATATATATTTAAATGCATATAAACTTATAAATTTATGCGATTATTAATTATACATCATTTTTTTTTTTAATATTCAGGGTTTATTCTTTATGCTATAATTAGATTAAAATAATTTTTTTTTATGACCTTTTCATATTTATGGCTATTTCAATGTAAAAAATGATAAAATAGCAAGAACGTTGAAAAACACACAGATTATTCACTATTGACTTAATGGAATTAAAATTTTAGACTTAACCTTATTACAACTTATAGTTGACATAAAAAAATATAAATTTATGTGAAATTTTAAACTTTATGACTTTTTAAAAATGGCGCTTTTTTGAAAATTGGCATTTTTGAGCTCACTTAATACCATTGAGAAGTTATTATTTTATAGTGATTTTCAAATGTGGTATTATATAGTGAATGATATATGTTTCAACTAAACTTCAAATATTTAAAAGAATTTTCTGGAGATTTAGAGGGCTACAAAGTTAAAAATTTTATAAAAATACACGTATTCTAGGTGCATTATTTTTGTTGGGGAACCTAATTCATAAAATTTTTTAGTTATAAATCTGCTTAATACACCATAAAAATTTGAAGTTTGAGAAAAAAGTGTAACATGTAAAATATTCTGTCTTCATAAATATCAGTTAAGCTCCTTATGATACGGTTATTAATTGGTAAAAATCTGTATTTTTTCCTATTCCCGAGAATAGTTTTACACAATTTAAATCTCATATTAGGTGTTTTTCATTTTGTTGTCATTCTAAGATAGGTATATTTACGTATATTATCCTAGGGGTGACGGTATTTTTTTTTAATATCGATATTTCGGTATGATAATTTTTACCGGTATGAATCGGTATACCGAAAATATCGTTAAACCGGTATTTGGATACGGTAATTTCTATATTTCGGTATTTCCGATATTACATAATAATATAATATTACATAATAACATTAATATGAATTAATTAATTTATAATAAATTTATAAAAAAAAAAACAAGATCACAAATTATTATGTTATTTAATTATTTTGATACAAATTTAGAGTTCATAGATAAAAATATGAGTTCTTCGGCATGCTCTGTTGATAGAGATGATCTATGATCAGTAATTATATTGCCCGCACAACTGAATACACGTTCGCTTGGAACACTAGTACCCTGTACGCATAAATATTTTTTACTAAGTACGGCCAAAGTTGGAAATTCATTTGGATAGACTTTCCACCACTTTAAAGGGTCTGACTCTAAATTTATAGAATCCATATTTTATGTTCAATTCGATATAATCGCTAAGATGCAATTATTGTGATAAACAACAATAAAAACAAAATAATACGAACCCATATCGGTATTTAAGATATATATATTTAGTATTGTAAATATGTCATATATTTCTCACTGGAAATTTTGAACAATCTAAAAATAAATTAAAATATTCAATAACTAATTTCGGTTATCGGTATACTCGATATTTCGATATTTTTGGGATTATCAGTATATTCGATATTTTCGGTATATCGTATAAATAAAAAAGACGATATACCGGTATACGATATACCGGTATATCGACCTCTAATCGGTATACCGGTAACACCGTCACCCCTATGTTATCCCTTTAATTTTTTCATCGCAAAATTGAAAAATATCATTTGGTTTAATATTTAGTAAAAACCAACTCGTTGCAGGCTATATTTAGCAAGCAAAATTAGAATTTTGTAGACAGGATGAAATTCAAATCTCCCACTGGGTTAATAAACAAGCCACTTTTCTTCCTTTTGTTATTTATTATAAATAGACGATATAATTAACTGTCGATGTATATGTATAATTAGTGATCACATGGTACATAATAATGTTATATAATAATCATATACAAGTCATCAAAATAAGCACCGTTTGTAAAAAAAAATTAATTATTTTAGTGACGGTGCTTTCGACTCAATACAAAAATAAAAAAAAAGGTTTATTAATCTGTGTTATCATATTGACGATTTGATGTCTTGTATAAGGTGATCTTAATATATAAGAAAAGAAACGTTATTATGTTCCATGTGATGACTAATTATGTTTCAATTTTACGATGAAAAAATTAAAGGGATAATATAAAATAAATTTTATTGTATTATTACAATACGCCATTTCTGATTAATTGTAATGTTTCGCAGGATTGACCATCGTCTCTAAAAATTTTAACATCTAACAGAACTTCATATTGAAACAAATTACAGGTGAATATCTTTCATATATGGATTTTAAAAAATAACCTGTTTAATGAAAATTAAAGTGATGTCTTTTGCATATGATTTGTCATCATTATTAAAAACGTAACTAGCGCAGCAGCCGTTGTTTGTATAATAAACCAGATGTTCGCTTTGAAATATTAAATATAATATATTAAATTTTTAAACAACTCTTCCATAAGATGAAATTATTAAATATCTAGCAGTTAATTTCAGCGGTCACATTTATTAATCAAAACAAAATTTATTACAGCTCGAAAAATATTTCCAAAATCTTGTAACATCATCTCACCTACGAGGGATGAAAATATTAATAATTTGGACCAATAAACATAAACATTTTAATACAATAATTTTTGGAATGTGTAGTATAACTATAAAAACGTACTGAATATCACTTGTATGTGATATGTGATTGTCAATAGAAATGTTTTCTGTATTGCCAGTTAGTGTATTTATAAACTCATAACAATGTAACTTACTTCCATTGATAATAAATGCTGAGTAACTGCAAATATCGACATCATAAAAATCCAATTACCTACCAGTATTTGTAATCCCTTGTGTATTATATATGTATATTATCTCAGAAATTTAAAACTTTAAAATTTTACATCTAATAAACAAATAAAGTGCCAAATTCAAATGACATTTACCATTAAATTAAAAATTCAAATCTTTCATTAAATACAAAATATGTGTTCTCATTTAAAAAACGAAGTTGACACCTTTACAAGTCATAAATGATGAACTTAAAAAGTATTATATAGCTAATAATTGAAAAATATTATCTAACTAAAAGTAACTAAAACAAAATTAAAATTTTTTTTTTATACTGTAAGTTTTTGAATGGATTATGATAAAAGTCATCTATATAAATATATATCATATTACACTAAATGGTGAACAACATTTTTAGATGATTTAAAACATTTTATTCATGAATAAGTCTTATTTATTTATTTATTTTTTTTACTTAAATATCCTCATTAGAAAATTATTTTCTTTAATTATAATAATTAATCTAAAATACTTTTGTATCCTTCATTTTTGAACAGTTTTAAATATGTCAAATAAAATGAAGAAGTATAATAATTTTTATTGAGATATAATAGTCATATTTTTGGTGAACACTTTTAAATATTATTATGGCCTTTGTTCATAAACAGCCTGAAATGTGCTTGGCAGAGTAAAGAATCGTAATTTTATTTATTCTCTTATAATAATTGTATTATTTTTTAGCTTCGATGCGAAGCTGAGAAGGTATTAATTTTCCATGATTTATTTATTTTTTTTTGTGTCTGTCACTACTTTTTCTCAGCTCTCACTGGACCGATTTCTTTCAACAATGCGTCAAAAAATCCCAAATTGTATCTAGTTGAACATTACCCATAAAAATTGAAAAATTTTCTCTCATTCCCCGCAAATGGAGGAAATCTCCAAAAAAATTACATATTTTAAAATCGGTAAATTTTGTCATTTTTTTCACTTTTTTTTCTTAAAACTTCCATAACTTTTTCAAAAATCAACAAATCAACATAATTTTTTTTTATACTAAAACCTTAGATATTACCCTTTCATTTGATATCATTTTTTTGAAAATTTAACACTTAACCTACTCACTGGGGGGATTTAAAATAGCAACTTTTTTACAAAACTTTTTTTCAGCTTAATTTTTTAAAATTTTCCAGAAATACTGCGTCCTTTAAACATATACCAAATTAAAGTTTATTTTATGTACTATAAAATAAAAAAAAAATTTATCCCGACACCTTATCTTCTATGTGCAAATGGCTGTCGAAATTAAAAGAAAATGTAATGTCTGCGATAAAAATCTTCTATCGGGATGTTTTTTGTACTTAAAACTGCTATAACTTTTTCAAATGTTAACAAATCAAAATAATATTTTTTTATATTGAAACCTTAGGTAATTTCCTTTCATTTGTTATCATTTTTTTTTTGAAAATCTAACACTTATTCAGCTCACAGGGGGGATCTAAAATAGCAAATTTTTTACATAAACTAACTTTTTAACTTAACTTTTGAAAATGTTCCGGAAATACAGCGTTGTTTAAACATAGCTCAAATAGCTACCGTATTCAAATATATGCTATTTTTGTTTTAAAATTCTGGGTTTTGTATTTTATTTCATTTTAAAATATTTTATTAGGGGAATACACTGACTTTCATGAATATTATATAATTTAATTGACACAGAATAAAGTTCATAAGACATAACAAATTAAACTTATTAAAATTAATATTTAATATGCACATAAATCTAATTAATCGAAATAAACACAAAATCCAAAAAAGCGATTGTTATCACTGAACTGAGAAGTTAATACAAGATCAACTCAAATAACTACAAAATGAAACAAAGGTAAATGTGAATATTTATTTTGCATGCTTTACTCATTAAAATTTCACGTAACAAACAAGAATAAAAAGAGGTAAGATAATTTAGTTGAGTCGTTTAAATTATTGAGGTTAGACTTTACTATATACGTCCAACACAAGACCCCCTATAATATCTCTACTCACTACTTTCCCACTTTCCGCTGCTAATTTATTTTTATCTATTACGATTGAGTAAAAATGTTAGATACTCAAGGCGTTCGCGATATACGGAATTCTATGTACTTCACTTGAATTACCAACCAGCATACCTTGAGATCCAATTAGTTTATAAACATATATAAAATTTCAATATAATTAAATACTTGTTATCGTTTTTCATCGCGATTCAATATTTTACTGATCACGAAATAGTTCTTCTAGTGGGATATAATTATATAGTCAGTGTAGACACGTTTAGGAACAGGATAACCAATTGATAGGATACCAGTGTGATAGCACGTTACACAGGTATATAACTTGTATTGAAAAAAAATGAAATTGTAGAATCGCTATTATTCATCAAATAGCTACATATTTTGAATTACGATGTAACTTTTATTATATATATATACAGGGTGTTCAGTAAGTCAGGAAACGGGTTTCTATTGTTCTCATTGTTTGTAACAATGAGAACAATAGAAACCCGTTTCCTGACTTACTGAACACTCTTTATATTTTTTTAATATTGTTCAGCATAAAAAAAAAAATTCTCAAAAAAAAAATCAATTTTAATAAATTCTAAACGAGCTATCACTTTTTAAAGTTTATGGATTTAAAACAAATAACACAATAGTCGGGTAAATACAAAAATATTAGTGTACCGATAAGAACTACCGGTGTATTGTACCCCAACAGGAAAAATTTAGAAACGCTTGCTCTGTTTTCATTAACGAGGATTTCGCGCTTAACATCATGTGTTACAAAATAATGCGTCATAATAGATTATGGTTTAAGTAAGACCGCGAAAAATCGTTTGCATACATTTAAGATACATTAACCTAACAAATATTATAATAGTATTTGATAATATGAATATGTATGTTTTATTATTATTTTGATTTTTTACCGCACTTCACCCATCCTAACTAAGAGTTTTTTTTTATAGTTTTTGTTTAAAACAAATTATACAACATAAAATTTTATCAAACATATTATATTTTAAAATATAAAAATTAAAATATATTCATCAATATTATTTGTCTAAGTTTTAAAAAAATGTATCACTACAATAGCGATGAAAATGCTTGAAACACAAACATAAAAGAACGTTTGTTTTAATATCGAATTGACTTTTCCCCATGTCGTGTATAAAAATATAGCAAATTATTATCATGACAATGTGCAAATAAAATACGGTAAGCTCTACACTAGTAAAAAAAAAAAAATGGGTTTTTTATAAAAAAATTATACAAGATAATTTTCAAATAGTTAAAGATAGCTAAATTATTTTAATATTCTCAATAAAAAACAAATTTAATGAATTAATGTAAATATTTTATTAAATGTACATTTTTCTTAAAAATATTTTAACTTATATTAAACTATATTTAACGTTTACTAAACAAAAAATTAATAAGTATTTTAGAGTAGTAATTTTTCTTACAGTCATACATAAATATTAAAAAAAAAACCACCATAGGGGAGTCGCGGCAAAGTGGTGACGTGGCATAGTTGGGTCAAGTATAATGATATCTGACAGTGATTAAAATCACTATCATAAAAAACGCTTTGATGCAAATCTTTAGATAGTGTTTAGTTTTAAAAAGTTGGTGGATTATTCCAAAAGCTACATGATCTGCTATTTCCTTATTTATATTCTGATTAAGATAATGTATGTCGAATAAAAGAGGGATATTAACTTAAAAAGTAATAAAATAAAAACTGTTGTAAAACAAAAATAAGAAAGGGATATGATAAGATGGAAGGGAATGTTATAGGAGTATCGCAAAATAAGAACTGTCCCTTTTCTCGGGGTGTGTTGTTCGATGGTCACTTGCTAACTTAAGTACGTGCACAATAAATTGGAATGTTCTTACCTTAATTATATAATCCTCACTGATGCAATAATTTACTCGTGGAATAATAAAGAAAAACATGAATTGAAATAACTGATTTGTATATAATGNACATGAATTGAAATAACTGATTTGTATATAATGTCTTCGACTATTTTATTATTAAAAACACATGATACAATAATAGTAAAGGAAAAACAAACAAAACTAAAAAAAATACAAAGTTGGTTTAAAAGGCGAAAGAGAGCCGGACGATGATCGCAACGTGTTCGTATGTCGGTTGGATCGGAACAGGACGAGGACTATGTGCCTAGGGATATTCTTAATGTATTCCCCGGATCCCCTTCCACAGATGTGTATGATTATCGTCCAGCTCTTATTGGGTTTTACATT